GTTACAAAGTGAGCTCAAGGCCAGACTGAACTGCATGCATAGTGAGATCCTTTCTCAAAAAGACCAAAAAAAAAAAAAAAAAAAAAATTATGTAACTTTGGTATTTTTCTTGTTAAAAATACATTATTAAAATCTGCTTCACTCACATTTTATGAGTTAATTCTAACTCTTTAGAAGTTTTGAAATCAGATTTGTTGGGAATCATAATTTCTGATATATCTTTTCCCTGAAAAAAGTTACTGAATTATTCATAGATGTTAATTAAGTTAAAATTAATTTTGAGGGTTTCTGTAAAACCTTCGAAATGAATAGCAACGTCTTGGGTGTCAGTTGCTAAAGCAACACTTGGAAATGGGTGGCAGTATTCGAGGCATCAGTCACTGAGGCGACATCGAGAGTTTGGTGCTCCCTTACAGAACATGGACTTGTGAGGAGTATGGTGGTTTAGTTGTAAGGACTGGGTTTCATCCAAAACGTTTCTTTTTCCCCCAACAAGTGCCCCTGAAGTTGCTGGCTCAGCTCCCTTTGGTAGATATGAGACTTTATTTATTTATGAGAGAAGGTATTGAGTGACTGCCAATTGCCTGTGTTTGGTCATCTCATAGAAAATGGCATTGTTGGCATCTGACGTTTTTTCTCCTTTTTCTTCCTCCTCCCCTCCCTCTGGATTTAGCTTGCAAGACAGCTTTGAGTATATCAACCAAGATCCTCACGTGGGAAAACCAAACACAAACCAGAATGGTCTGGGTGCTTGTCGCACTGGAAGTAACCTAGGTAAAATCAGGCACACGGACAGATTTTCTCTCCTGATACTACTATTGTGGACGTGTTTTGCCTTTTTTTAAGGTCGTGGTGTGGTGTTGTTTCGGTTTGACCTTCCTTTAATCTGTCTGTTTCTGTGTGTGTGCCGTGTCTGGTCTCTGCGTGTCTGTCTAGGTCTGCTGCAGGGCTGCAGCAGCAAGCTGCTGCCGGGGGCGGCCGAAGGAGGACCTCTCCGGCTCACCCGGAGCGCTTCTTTCTTCGCAGGTTTGTGTGGAATGCTGATTGCAGGGTGACCCCACACACAAATAAACTCTCAGCAGGTCTTAGGAAAAATCCTGTTTGTGCCTCGCTAGAAACCCGAGGGGCTCTTGTGATAAGAGATATTGGCTTTAAAATGCAGCCAGATTCATGGAGTTTTGAAAATTCCACACATGCACCTTTACTGTAAATGCCTCTGCTAATACCTCAGTGTAAGCTGATTTGATCTGAAATGAGCCCTTCATGTTCCTAAGAGGATTATTCTTTCTGATTTTCCTGGCCTCTTCTGCTGCCTGAATTGTTTCCCTTTGCCATGGTGTTTGTCACCCATTTATTCACTTTCACCCTTCTCTGCATGGAGCTCTAAGTAAGAGCATGGCAGCTCTTTCTATCTCCCCCCCCCTCTGATGCACATATTTATTTAAGCAGTTTAAATGCACATTTTTGGGTTCTTCACAGGTATAGCCATCTTGGTACTCTGGATATATATTCTGAGATCTAATTGGCCTTGCCGGCTGAGGCTGGCCGTGTCTGTTGTGCTCTTGGCATGATTAACAAGCGTAGGACTCTCATTACTAACATTTAAGAGTGCAAGTATGGCACGTGGTATTTATCATTCCGTTCTCCTTTGTAGCCTGAAATATGCTAAACGCCATAGTTAACTGATTCCCTAATGGAACTGACACCCTCCCACCTGCTTAGAGTGAGGGTAACATGTTTGTATACTGTCTTTAAAATTGTGAAGATAAACACGCTTCAGAAAAGAGCTGCAGTGCAGTACTCAGGGCCAGAGCACAGGGCTTCCTATGCATTGTAAAGCCTTCCAGAGCAACTGCCATCTACCTTCCAGCTCAGGTCACTGGAGCATTCCGAGAAGTCCGAAGTACTTGCGAGTTTTCCAGAGCTCATGCCAGCACATGAGCTTTCTGAGTAACTCCATAGTAGTACTGCGATGGGTGTATGCGGAAAAGTGGAGGGAGAAATACTTGAAAATGGACATGTGTTTTCTATCTGCCCAGAGTGGGTTATAAACAGAGAAACATGTTTGACTTTATGAAATGGTTTTCAAGTGTTTCTGTTCCCTGTTTCCTACAGTGATTTCTGAAACTATCCAGCATTTTACAAATACAGTACTATTTAGATACTTCTAATAATGAGGAAAATGCCTAAAAATACCCACCTGAGAATGTTCATTCATTGTATTAACTGGATGAATGGCTTATGGAGTAGGTTATTTTAGGAATTGAACATCATTTAGAAAAGTTTATATGCTTCAGTAGGATAAAGGGAGATCATTACTTGGTTCTTTTTTTTTTTCTTTTTTGTCTTTATGAGACAGGGTTTCCCTATGCAGTTCAGGCTGTCCTTGAACTCACCTTGTAGCCCAGGCTGGCCTCGAAATAACAATGATCTTCCTGCCTCAGCTTCCTGAGTGCTAGAATTATAGACGTACACCACCAAGCCCAGCCTCTTCTTTTTTCTGCCTTTTACAGATTTGATCTTGCTTTCTAGTTAATCTCTACTATAAGGCGGCCAATCATCAGTAGCAGTAGCCTTCTTTGAAATGTAAAAGTCACTGTATGTGTTCTTAAATTTTCCCGTGTCCGCAGAGCCTAATAACACGCCTTCCTTGTGCCTTTGTCTCAGCACACAGCACCCCAGTCGACATGCCAAGCCGAGGACAGAACGAAGACAGGGACAGCGGCATTGCTCGATCAGGTATTTCCTTCAGCAGTTTAACCCAGTGGAGTGAGCTGTACGAGCGCTCGCGTTTCATTTGTGGTTATCAGGCGCTCACTCTGGTGTTCTCCTGATCTTCTCTGTGAAGTTTGGCCAAGACCTTTGGTCAGAAAGGGTGGCTCCCATTGATTAGACCTGTATTCTTTTTTTTTTTTTTTTGGTATTGGGAATCGAACTCAGGACCTTGCGCTTGCCAGGCAGGTGCTGCGCTGCTGAGCTGCATCCCCGGCTAAACGTGTATGCTTTTCACTTATAGCCCCTTTGTACAAACACAAAGGCACAGGGCGAGTATGTGGTCGTGTGCGAAGTGAACTGTTTTATTTTGCTCAGACTCACCGTCCCGTGCTTGGGAAGGTGTTCTCATTACTCGTGAGTCATCGCCGGCCGAACTTGAGTTCCATCAGTCAGTCTGTGCACATGGGTTGATGAGCTCAGTGTCCCAAGACTCAGCTCCCTGGCCTGGTAGGGCCTTGGGATGGTGGATTTCAGAGCAGGGTGCAGGTCTCATGATCACCCCAAGTCTCCTGGGGGCAGCTGACCCTGGACCCAGGTGGTGCTTAGTCACAGTTGCTGCGGTGGCTGACGGGATGTGGCTGTGTGTGGCAAGAGCTCTTTACCTGTCTGTGTGAGACAGAAGGTGCGCGGTATTCCTCAGGAGCCTGTCCCAGCACTCAGGTCACAGTCTCGGTCCTGCAGTGATGTTGTTTTATGTACATGTGCATCCCCTTTCCTGTTCTAGAAAAGGGTTAGAGAATTTGAGGGAACTGATACCAACAGAAACAGTTCCAGGACAGGGTGGATCTTCCTAAGTAACCTCAGCGCACAATATAATTGGTGTAAATAGCTCACACTGGGCAGGTCAAAACCTCACTTGGTGTTTGGATTCTGACTCCTGAAACTGCTTTTTGTCCCCCTTTAAGAAGCAGGACAGCTGAAGGGTGAGTTCACGTTTAAGTGGGAAGTGTTCGGCTGCGGGGTCTGGTCTGACTTGGGGGTTTGGCGGTCCCTGCTTCTGTCTCCCAGGTCTTGCGGGGTGAGGGGTGGAGGTGCTGAGCGGGCTGCAGAGCATCTTGTCCCTTGCTGTCCCGCAGTGGGGCTGACGGCCAGTACCATCTGCCCACCTGGGAGCTGCTCTGTTATCCCTGGGTCTGCGCAGAGACCAGCATGCCCTCCAGCGCTCTGGCAGGATAGCATAAGAATTGTGTGTGTGCTTACGGTGGTTACCTTGCTAAGACTTCTCCTTAGTACGCACTTTAAATTGTGGCGGGACTAAGGTCCCAGATCTGATACAGAATAGGAGCTCTGCATGGTAGAGTTAGTTGGCAGTAGAGCTCGATGTAAAGGAATTAAGGTTATTTTATTTTTTTCATATTTTGGTTTGGTTTGGTTTTGTGATAAGGTCTCACTGTGTAGCCCAGGCTGGCCTCGAATTGCAGTCCTCCTGCCTCAGCTTTCCAAGTGCTGGAATTTCAGGCATGCACCCCTCACCTGGCTGTCCTTTTGATTGTTAGCTTCTATCTAGAGTTGGGAGACAGGGAAACTTTTAAAAATAGATTTTGCTAGCCGGGCATGGTGTGGCGCATACCTGTAATCCCAGCACTTGGGAGGCTGAGGCAGGAGGATCATTGTGAGTTTTAGGCCATCCTGGGCTGCAAAGTGAGCTCAAGGCCAGCCTGAACTGCATAGCTCAAAAAGACAAAGGAAAAAATAGCTTTTATGCTTTAGAACGGTTTTGGATTTACAGAAAAACTGGGACTCTAATAGAGAGTCCCCCCGAGCCCTCTCAGCCTGCCGTATGATTAGCACGCTGGCTTAGATGCCCGTCTGTGGTGAGAGTCCACCACTGTTGATGCTGGCATGTTGCCGTCAGCCTCGGCGCACGGCTCTGCCACTCCCTAGGTTTCACCTGGCCCCTGTTCACCCCAGGACCACACCGCTTCTAGTTCCCTGGCCCCTCCAGGCTGCTTTAGACGTGCTTTCTCAGACTCGTGTCGCTTTCGATGCCCGTTGGTTGGGAGGAGAGCTGGCCGGGTGTTCTGTAGGAAACTCCGCTACTAGGAGATGCTTGAGGGGTTGCTCCCAGCGAGACTGAGGTTGTGGGTTGGGACGGGAGACCCTGGGCGTGAGCGCCGTTCCCCTCACGTGGTGCTGTGTGCCCTTGGCGCTGGCCTCGCTCAGCTGGCCGAGGAGCTGGCGGTTGGGTGTGTCCACCGTGCAGTGACGCCTTCCTTGCCGCCCCCCTGCCCCCGTCCTGCTGGGCCCTTGGGAAGGGCGGCGCCGCGCTCAGGGCTCCCGGGAGCGAAGAGGAGCCCCACTGTTGTTTGGGGTTGTGCTGTCTCTTCTCCGTGCTCATTTCTTTAGTCGTGTTATCAGTGTGGACTCAAGGGTGTTCATTTTCACTGTGGGTTTTAGCCCAACACCGCGCCCCTTTGCCCTTGGATGCCCCGCTCTGCCACCGCTCCCTTCCGCATGGCGGGCGTCTTCCATGTAGCCTGTGGGCAAGCGGGCAAGGTGTGGCGAGCACCCGCACCGTGTGGCACTGCCCAGTGCTCTAGAGCCGTCTGCTGCCAAGACCTGGGCTCTGCCACTCTCTGCGCACTCGTGGAATTCCTCCGGAGGGGACCGAGTTGGGGCAGGAACGCAGGGACACGATCCTCGCGGTACTCTTCCCTGGGAATTTTAAACGTGTGTCCTGTGTCTGTGTAAATCGGAAGGCTGGTGTTGTGGCGTGCTGCTGGAAGCTGTGAGCAAGGCCTCGGGGAGGGGGCAGGAGGGCAGGTCTGGATGCGTGCGGCGCTGCACAGTGACGGCCACGCTGCCGTGTGAGGCCACAAGAGCGGCGGCGGCCTGACCCCGCTCAGGGACAGGGAGAGCCAGCAGAGGGGCACAGCGAGACGCTTTTCTCTTTTTAGCTAAATTTCCCACAAATTCTCCCGTTCTGAGGAATCTGCTGCGTTTAGAAATAGGAAGCTGGCTCAGAAGAGATGGGGCAGAGCAGAGCTGCAGTCAGGACGGCGTGACACGGCGGTGTCAGAGGGCGGCCCTGCCCGGGAGCCTCGCCCCGCCGCAGTTTGGCCCTGTGCGCCCCCTTTCAACGTGTCCAACCCCCGGCAAGAGAAACTTCCCATTCTCTACGTGTCTCTGCTCGCTCCGTCCTTACAGTGGTAGTGTGGTAAAAACCGCCAGTACGCACTTCGCGGCAGTTTCACTGAAGTGCTTTAAGTGGGGCTTGGGGTTCTGGGGTGTGAGTACACGTCATCACTATGCAGGCGACACGCACGTGTTGGCCGCTGCAGATACCCGACCCCCCCGCGTGAGCTGTCAGGGCCAGGGATGCCACATACACGCGACACGGGCTGAACACACTCGTTACTCACATAGTGAGTTGTCTGGGAGAACGGGCTTCTCTGACCACTGATTGGAGAATGTACCTCTGCCATGCCTGTTTCCTAAAGAACATCATAGTAATTGTATTTATACAGGCGCTGTGGTCTGCACTATTTATTCCATGAATATAAGATCACATAAGCAAAATAAGTAATCACAGCAGAAAGCATATATAGAACTAGGAAAAAAATTGTTCTTTCACAGACAGAAGGATGAGTTTTGTGTGTTTGGAAGTGGTCAGGAGACAGGATGCAATGTGGAGGCAATTTTGCCTCAAAATACAGAGTGAAGTAGTCAAGAAGCAAAAATATAGAAGTTTCATAATGTGGCATTAGTTACCAAGTTCACAATATAAGGGTATGCTATATGGACCATGTTATCAGAATCCATAATCTGATTAATAATTTCTTCTATATTGTAAGGTGGGATCTGGTAATTTTTCACTTGCCATATCTGTGATCCTTGTTTACTTTAATATGTTTTCCTTTATAAAGGGTGTTTTCTTTGCTATACAAAAATCTTTGTAAGGCAGAAATTATAGTCTCCCCCTGCTGGATATGACGGTCAGAACCTGAAAATTTGGGTTACTTGGCGTACATACATACTTCAGTCTTTCATTGTGTTAAAATACACAAATGTAACATGTACTGTCTTACCATTTCTAATCCGCAGTCCGGTGTACTAAATGCATTCATAACGTGCGTTGTGTGACCACACGGTTCATTTCCCATCTCCTCCCTCGCAGCCTCCCTGAGCAGCCTTCTGATCACTCCCTTCCCGTCGCCCAGTGCCTCTACCTCGTCCTCCAGCAGCTACCAGCGCCGCTGGCTCCGGAGCCAGACCACGAGCTTGGAGAACGGCATCATTCCGAGGAGGTGCGTTGCAAGTTCGCCCTTGCTGAGGAGGTGCTGGTGTGGGCAGCGGAGCAGGACCACGGGAGGCCGTGCCTGCCGGTTGTCTGGCTTCAGCTTAGCCTGGAAGCTTACAGGGTGCAAGTCTGAAGGAGAGAACAAATTAAAGCCTAGGAAAAAATTCTGGGTTAGAAGACACTGGGAGATACTGGGGAGCTGTGCCGTGTTTGAGCTGGCTTTGGGTGTGAAATTTATTAAGTGATGCTCTCTTTTAAACTGGATACCTCCCAAGTGTATTCTTGTAAGTAATAAAGCAGTGGAATAAAATTTTTCCCTTGCTGGGCATTGTGGCACATATCTGTAATCCCAGCACTTGGGAAACTGAGGCAGGAGGATCATTGTGAGTTTGAGACCAGGCTGGACTGCATAGCGAGACCCTGTCTCAAAAAAAAAAAAAAAAAAAAAAAAGACAAAAAAAAATTTCCCTTGGCTACCTGATATTGATGTGGTATTTGCACATATGACATGTTTCTTATTCGTACTTTGGCATGTTCTGTGTAAAACGTGAATTCTTAGAGAGATGTGAATGTGATTGTAGGTAGAGAGGGCACCAAGTGTTTTCTGCCTTGGTTTCAGTTGATGTTGAATCTAAAGTGCAGTTAGGTCCGGGGTGCACATTTGAGGTTGTACCTGTAGCTTCCGGGCTCTTCTCACCACCCAAGACCTGGGTGGAAAATTCTCAGTGTAACCGTAACAGTGTCTGTATCATGGGGTGATCTGGTAACTTGACTCCTGGTCACTGCGCAGGGACGTGGTGACTCCGCCACGCGCCTGCGCGAGTTCTGCAGACCGCGAGGGGGCGCCGTGCGCGGAGAAGGTGGTGGGAAGGTGCTGCATGGTGAAGGCCGTGAGGGCTCTGGGATTCTGCAGGGAACACGGTGCGGCCGCGGTGGCATTAGGGGCCTTGTGGAGACTTGGCAGAGAAAGGACTGAGGCGGCGCCAGCGGCTGGCACGTCTCGGGTTTCTCGCAGGCCTCGGGAGCAGGGTGCAGCTGCCTGGTTTGCTGAGAAGCTGCTGTGTTGGTCGCCAGACCTCGAGTGGAGTAATTGAGAGCTGGGTGTGAGGCGGGTGCCTGGCTCTGCTGCGCAGCTCGAACAAGATAGCCTGGACTCCGGGTGTCGTCTCCTGCGTCACAGCGGTGTCCGTCCCAGCCCGAGTGGTGCTGGGAGGATGGAGTGAGGCACAGTTAGGCAGGGCACAGGACTTGGGGAGTAGAGTACCGGGCCGTCCGGCTCCTTTCCTGCTGTCCTTGTACCGCCGTGCAGCAGCGGGAGTCCCCACGCAGCGCGACGGCTGTGGGGCTGGAGAAGAGGGTCTGCACCCTTCCCCTCTGGACAGCTGGTTATGGTTTGTGTCTAGATGACCTCCCAGAGCCTCACGTGGTCTTCGGGTCCCTCAGAGGTGGCTGAATCTAGCATGTGTGAATGGTCTGTAGTGCAGTGCTGGGAGTAAGGGTGAGTGACTGCTGGATCTGTCCACGGACTGGGCTGGCACCGCTGTAATCTCAGCGGACTGGATTCAGTATAAGGGACAGACAGAGGCTTGTCTCTCCCTCTCTCTTGCTGATTTGCTGTCTTCTGCTCCCATGAACTGTTTCCCTTCTGCCATGCCATGCTGCCTGAGAGCGGGCCGACCGCGCTGAAACCTCTGCAGACTGTGAGCTAAGTACACCTTTGCCCTTTAACTCTGAGTGTCAGGCATTTTATCTCAGCAGCGAGAGAAGTGACAAGTAACTAAGACAGCTCCTCACTGAGATGCATTGTCATCCCTTCAGATTTACGTCTCCAGTTGGATCTAGTGTTGTACCAGCCCCCTCCTCCGAAATTCTTTGAATTCACTGGGACCTGGCACTGGGAGCTGTGGAGTTCCCTGCTGAGCATGTGCCTGCAGGGGTCCTGCATTCAGGTCTCCAGCCTGGAGACACCCTCAGGCTGGGTCAGCACAGGGTGAAAATGCCAGGCCCCTCCCTTGTTCAGAGAGCAAGAAAAATGTACTGACAGGAATAAAATGCAGAGCTTTGTCTTAAAAGTTACTTACAAGCTATACTAGAGATAATAGTGACATATAATAACAGTATAACTTACAAATTAATTTTTTGGTATCATAATGTTATTTAGTACAATGAATTATAGCTAATATGACAGCTTCTTTGCAAGATTTTTCAAGCTTTCGTGCAGATTCACTCGTTAGGTCCTCAGAATTTATACTTCGAGCAGCTTGGCTTTCTGTTAGTGTTGAAAATGACATTAGTGCTCATGGCAAATGCAAAACGATAAATAATTTTTGAGATTTTTTACGTAGAGAAGAATCTGCTGTTGCGGCCCCCTGGCGCTGTGTGGGCTGTGACCACACTGTGATACTTGTCTGATCACTTTCAAAGTATGAATTCATACTGTTGTTTGTTTGGGTTTTTTTGTTACTGGGAATTGAACTCAGGACCTTGCGCCTGCCAGGCAGGCACTGTACCGCTGAGCTATATCCTGGCCCAAGAGTTTTCTTTTCTTCTTTTTTTTTTTTTTGCTTTTTTGAGACAAGGTCTCACTATGCAGTTCAGGCTGCCCTTGAGCTTACTTTGTAGCCCAGGCTGGTCTCCAACTTGCAACAATCCTCCTGCCTCAGCCTCTCCAGTGCTGGGATTACAGGCATGCGCCACCACACCCAGCTAGATACTTTTAGATCAAATGATTCTGGTACAGGTTTTTCCAGATAGGTTTAATTCCTCTCCCATTTGTTTTGTGTAAGTCTGAATTTATTTTTAAATTTTTATTTATTTTAATTTTTTTTGGTTTTTTTCCAGTACCGGGAATCAAACTCATGACGTTGAGCTTGCCAGGCAGGCAGTGTGCCATGAGCTAAATCCCCAGCCCAGTCTGAATTTAATTGTAGCTATGAATGGGTTGGAAAACGAGCTGTCTGTGCAGACTCCTAGGACACGGCAGAGGGACGGACAGCAAGTCGGCCCCCGCCGGCTCTGTCCAGAGCCCCTACCCCTGGCTTCCGCCCTCTTCTGCTGTTGCTGCTGTCGGCCTCGCTTCCTCAGGGTGCTCTGGCGCCCTGGCCTCTGCAGACATCAGGAATGAGTCTGATGCCAGGCCAGTGGCTTCAGGTCTCGGCTGCATGACCTGGAGCCCGAGCCCACCCACGCTCAGAGTGCTGGTCTTTTCCTCGTGCATGCTTCAGAGTTGCTTCAGGCTGCACTTGCCGCACACAGGTGCAAAGCTAAAGTCATGAAGAATTCTCGATGGCGGCCGCAGAACACTGTGCAAAGCCCGTGTCCTCCTGAGAGCAAGGCCACCTGCCGTGGTCCTGCTCGGTGCGGAGAATCAGGTGTGCAGACGCTCTGAGCTGCTTGCTGTGCTCGTGCAGATCTGGGCCTGCATTTAAAGGAGGTTGCTATGGACTCCTCCCTTTTGGGAGATAGAGGGGTAAGGAAATGGGTTTCTCATGCTTGAGGCATAGAGCGGGTATCAAGAAATATGACCCTGGCTTTGAGGGAAAACGTACAGTAATTAAAGTCATCCTTCAGGAAGTGGCAGGTGGTCAGGAAGGATGTCACGGTCACTAATGCCGGCTCCACGCTGGCCTCGCTGCCCTGTGCCGGGCAGCAAGCTCTGCTTCCTGGGCGGGGTGGGCCTTGGCAAGGCTACGGACACCCTGAGGGGGCCAGGCCATCCCGGGAAGCCTTCTGATTTTATGTTTTCTGGTGGTATGGGGTTGAGCTGATGGCTGATTTGAATTGCTCAATTGAGCAAACTATATAATGTTGCTGATGAGATGTTCTTTGATATCCGTTGTTCTTTGATAAAACTGTCGCTTTCATGTGGTCCTGTGTAATATTACGTTCAGTGTAAATTCAAAGCTGATAAAACACTTAGACTAAACAGTCTCCTAATCAGTTATACGTTGAGATGTAATGAAAAGTCAGTGTTTGCTTTATGATGATACTTAAGTACTTACAAAGTACATAAATGCATATTTGTGTCAACAAAATTCTATTTGATGTATTTGAGGTTTTTCTTTTTTGTGTGTGTGTTCTGTTTGGTTTTTTAAGACAGGCTCTTGCTTTGTAGTCCAGGTTGACCTTGAAGTCACTATGTAGCCCAGGCTTGCCTCGAACTCAGCAATCCTCCTGCCTCAGCCTCCTGAGTGCTGGGGATTCAGGGCAAAGACAGTGAAATATTTGGGAGTATTCTCCAGTGTTTGGAAACATTTCAAATGCCTTTATTGTGGAATAATATTCAAAGATAGCGTATGACCCGCTCTGTTCCCACTCAGATGCTTTAGAATTCAGCAGAGGGCTTTTGGAAAGCAAGCAAGTGTCCACTGTACAGTAGCTGTGCAGGTCTAGCAGAATTTCAGCAGATGGCACTGTCTGCTGTGTGAGAACTGATGGCCGAGTTGGCTTCTCAGGGTAGACGCGAGGAGTTCAGTGTTGATCTCTGCACTTTTTCGTATTAGACCAGGCTGGCCTAAAATGAATGGACTGACATGGTCATTTTACTTTGGAAAGAGGAGAAATATGAGATACCAAGAGGAAAGGATTTACAAGGATGTCTTTGACATAAACTCGGAAGACATTTTTCTTAAAGACAGAACAGAAATAAACTAATGCAGGAAAACGAGGTTCTAATATAGGTACGCTGAAAAAGAGAGTGGGGCGCTGCGTGAAGTCATGTGGAGTCTCAGAGCCCCACGGGAGCGTTTCCTGGTGACCGTGCCTGGGGCTTCTCAGGGGGCAGCAGCGGGCTGCTGAGGTGCAGAGCTCGGAGGAGAGCAGCTGCAGGCGCTTGGGCCGGGCTGGTCTGGTGAGGGCTCCCCTGCAGGTCACCTGGGGCTGCACTCTGAGACCTGGAGTGGGGTCAGGGAAGCAGTAACATACGCCTCTGAGCTTAGAACAAGACAGCTGTCTCCTTTCTTTAGAAATAGCTTTCTTAGATGTAAAATTTTTCAGGTATGTGTTTAACAGAATCCAGACAGACTTGAAATCACAGGGACAGTCTGGTCTGTGAATGGAGTACTAAATAAGACCTAGGGTAGGACGCAGCTACCTTGAGTTCTGCCCAGCATAAATAATTGTTATATCATAATTTTTAGGGAAAACCAAGGCCAGACGTGGTGGTACACACCTGTAATCCCCACTGCTCAGAAGCGGAAGTAGGAGGACTGCAAGTGCAAGTCTAGCCTGGGCAACTTAGCGAGACTCTGTCTCAAGATAAAAATGTCGTAGGGCTGGGAGTACAGCCCAGCACTTCCTTAGTCGAATCCCAGTACCGCAAGAACAACAAGACCGCGAAACACCTGGAGGAAGTATACACACGTGCACACACACGTTGGGTGGAGGCGCGAGGCCAAGTGGGAGGGTCAGTGAGGAGGAGAGAAGGATCTCCTGCCTGCCGTGTGCCGAGCGGGGCACTTTCGTCTGCAGTGTGTTCCATTCTTGGCTTTGCTGTCTTTGTAGACGCAGTGAATTGACCCTTTATTTTCACTCTTGCTGTGAGCGGCCGTGTGGTAGCGATGCTGGCTTTTCACAGTGGTGCAATGAGGGATAAGGTTGGACCTTTACTGTGAAGACTACCCCTTAAGACCAATTGCGTATACTCACAATTTATTGACTTCATGGCTCTTATCACAGAAGCGGTGGCTCTCGAGAGAATCTTGCGTTTTCTCGGCGTTTGACTGACAAAAGCAGGGGGAGGCCTTGTGCTTGCGGGTTTCCGGAGCGCTGCTGCTGACGCGCACAGCTGTGTCTGAGGGCTTAGAGGGTAACTCCATCTGACGCCTGGCCAGCCCGGGAAGGTCAGCCTGCAGTCAGATGGCCCAGCACGTGTCTGCGTTAGGCGGAGTACTGTGCAGGGGTGTTCCTTGTTGGGCTTTCTTAGTGTTGCTATCACCCAAAACGGCAGGTCTGTGTTTTGAGTGAACAGGTACTTTGCACTCCGAAGTACCACCAGTCTGATGTAAAATGACCCAGGAGAAAAGGGGGGAGTCTAACCGGAGGATGTTGGAACGGGGTTTGTTCTCACGTTAAGATAATAATGGGCAGGTGGCTATTCTCATTGGTCACGACAGAATCAGAAGAGAATGAGTGGAAGGTAGCTAAACTGGAGCGCGCGGCCGCGGGTGAGTGCTCACCAGGAGTGTGACCCGTTGCCTCCTAGCAACTTCTCAAACTGTCTTCCCCACAGGACAGTGGAGGAGACCTTTAGCTTGGCTGAAGAGGCCTGCAGCTCTAACCCAGCCATAGTTAGGAGGAAGAAAATTGCCATAAGCGTCCTCTTTTCCCTCTGTGAGAAAGAAGAAGCACAGCGGAATTTCCAGGACTTCTTCTTCTCTCACTTTCCGCTGTTTGAATCTCACATGAACAGGCTGAAGAGTGCGATTGAAAAGGTAATACGATTGTCCTCCTGCGTCCGTAGCAACGTGACCGTGGGGTGGGCGGAGCCCTGCGCAGGTGTCGGTCACTCTCCTAAGGGAGCCACTGTCCCCAGCAGTGACAGTGATGGGCCCTTAGGAATGCTGTGGTAGATGCCACCGTGCTGCTTTGGGGAGGGAAGCTCCTCCTTCTGATGACTGCTTTCGGTTCGTGACGCCGTTTTCACTGATGACGGCCAGCGGGCAGGCTGTAAGGAGTTTCTTCTCAGAAAGTAACTTGATGTGCTTTCTTTTCCACGAAGGCCATGATCTCCTGTAGGAAGATCGCAGAATCAAGTCTCCGTGTCCAGTTCTATGTCAGCCGCTTGATGGAAGCCCTGGGAGAATTCAGGTAAGGCTAAGCGTTGGGCAGATCCAGTGGGGCTTTCCGAGCAGCAGCCGCCGCCGCCGCCTTGCATCTGTGGGATGATGGGAAGGGCAGGGGCTGACCCGGGCAGTCCACCCTTCAGCACAGTTGCGCACCAAATGGAGCGAAGAATGAGGAAGCCCAGTGTGAAGTAGCCCTCCTACCGCCCGCAGACAGTCCTTGATAGGGAGAGGGCTTGCACTCAGGCAGGTCTCCTAGGTCCATTCGCTCTGTCCTTTCGTCCCATAAAAGCCCGGAGGGTAAGCACGGCTACCCCATTTCACAGAGGTGGACGCTAGGGTTGGGGGTGCTCGGTCAGAGTGCAGGTGGAGAGTCCGCACGTCCGGAGTCTGCGTCTCAGCTCACCGGACACTCCCACTGTACACTCAGTGTTTCCTGAACCCTGACGGGTGATCGGGTGATCATCGTACTTGGGGAGTGGTTTCTGGAGGCCCTGCGGGGGTCTGGTAGGGAGGGGAGAGCTCTGGGGAGTGGGGTCCCCTCCGTGCTGAGCCAGCGCCGCTGCTCGGAGCCAGCCTCTCTGCAGGGAGTGGAGCCTAGCTCTGCGCAGGCTGAGGCGACGAGGGGAGCTGCTGCCGCCCAGCCCGGGGTGAAGGGACCGCGCCATCTGTGCAGTTAGATCGCTCATGTGCTGCTGGCACACTCAGCACTCTCTGAGCTCTGGGTCGTAGTTAAAGTACTGCAGTCACGTGCTGGGCCTTGGTGATGACTGTGACGGGAGTCACCCACGGAGGGTTATGTGAGACTGCCTGGTGATGCCCACACCGTCCGCGGCCGCACGGGGCTTGCCCGGTGCCCTGCTGTTGTCAGACCCAAAGCTGGCTCATGCTTGTGGGCCTGGCTCGTACCTTAATAACAGTACTAGTTTTTCAGAGGTCAAGAAACAAAGTGCAGAGCCAGGAAGCTTCACTTTCCATGTTTGCAGGACAAGCAGTCCCTCCAGAAATGGTGACAGAATGGGTTAGCGCTTAGACGCCTTGGTGTTAGGCCGCAGACCGCAGTGCTGTGTAGCCAGAGCTCGCCCTTGCCACCTAACTCCACAGATACTGTGTTTTCCATTTTTTTGCCAATATGGAATTCTGTTGTATCCCAATCCCTTCTGATGCACAGTTAGAAAACTCCCATTTATCTTGATTTGTGAAAAGTGAATGTGTGACTAATCCAGAGATGCATTGGCTTTTACCCAGAGGAAATGCTGCGTAAGTTAATGCATGCTTTGGAAGAACACCCAAGTCCCATAACTGGGAATAGGGGCCTCTGTGCCAGGCCTCGAGAGCCAAGTTCTCATCCTGACCTTGCCGTTGTCTTATGCAAGAAACCCAGTCTCCCCAGGCCTCCGTGTGAAGTTACCTTACAGTCTCGTGCAGTGGTGGTGAGCCTATGGACATGGGCCGAGCGGACCTTCCATGTATCACTGAAAGCTCTAAAAGGTTCACGGTCACGGGTCTCGAGTACAGTAAGGAAGAGCCATTTGTGTAGCTTTTTCCTTCAAAATGAACAGGGTGCTTGGCTTGGAGAAGCAAAGCTTTAACAGAAGTGGGGAGAGTTGCGTTGCCTCTGGTCATGTTTTCCATATAGCATGTACGTTCTCTCTGTGTCCTTACTGTAAAAATGGAGTGTGGTACTGTACAGACGTACAGTTTTGTTTGTTGTTTTTTCCCCGGTACCGGGGCTCGAACTCACAACGTTGCACTTGCCTGGCAGGCGCTGCGCCGCTGTGCTAAATCCCCAGCCCCCAAACATACAATTTTTATGAAGAGGTTAAAAAAGTAAATTAAAGCCAGTGTGTTGGCACACACCTGTAATCTCGGCACGCTGGGAGGTTTGAGGTAGGGGGATCACAAATTTGAGCCCAGCCTGGGCAGTTTAGCAACTCAGCAACACCCTGTCTCAAAAGTTAGAACAAGGCTAAGGGTACAGCTCAGTGTAAAGGCCCTGGGTTCAACCCCCAGCACTGCCAAAAAAAAAAAAAAATTTAAATGGTTGTAGATTCTGACGGCATTGTGAAAATACAGTGTTAAGTTGGTACTTTGCACCTGGGTTGGCGCACCTTCTCTGTGAGGGCGCCCGTCCCAGCCACGCACCTTTGTCACTGTTGTACCATGCGGCCTTCCCAGGACAGCGTTATGCACGCAGAGCCAGGTCACACTGGGCCTGCGGGCGTGGTGCAGCAGCCCGCGGGTACGTACTGCGGGAGTCCCCTGGGCTGTGTGGGTCCGTGTTCGTCTTCTCCTTCATCCTTCTGTACCAGGGTTATTCAAAATGAGGTTTGTGACAGTGTCGTGGGTCCCTCCTCTCCTTCTCTTCTGCAGAGGGACTATCTGGAGCTTATATTCAGTCCCAAGGATCGTTGAGCCGGTGTGGCTCGCCATGATGTCCAGCACTCTGGAAAGAACCCAGCTCTGCCAGCGCTTCCTGCAGGAGTTCACGCTTCTCATAGAACACATCAACAAAAACCAGTAAGCCTCGCTGGACGCGGACTGCGTGCGCGTGCGTGGCCCGTGTGTGCCCTGTGTGTTCCAGCCTGTCCTCTGGGGACTGATGTGGCTGTTCTCTCCTGTCCCCAAGGTTTCTCGCTGCCTTACTGACTGCAGTGTTGACGTACCACCTGGCGTGGGTGCCAACCGTCATGCCTGTGGACCACCCGCCCGTCAGAGCCTTCTCCGCGAAGCGCGCCTCTCAGTCAGTGAGCATGCTGGCCAAGACGCATCCGTATAACCCTCTCTGGGCCCAGCTGGGTCAGTGCCTTGGCTGACTACTGAGAGAGACAGCGGGAGGGGCAGGGCGGGAGCGCTGGGACCCGCCGCGTACGCGCTGTCCGGCCGGTAACGCGGGGCCCGGCGTTAGCAGAGCTGTCTGCAGGGGTGGTCAGGTGCCCGGAAGAAGGGCAGAAAGCAGCATGGCAGAGGTTGGCTGGGAATCCCTTTCCCTGGAGAAGGGCTTGAGTAGGGGGAGACAAGGCAGAGCAGAAACCAGTGAGCCGAGTCCCAGCGCCTTGCTGATTTTAGTGGAAGTCGGAGGTCTTGTCTTGCTCCGAAGTTAGTGGTGGCGGTGTCGCCTCGCCCCTTGGGGCGCTGGAGACCCTGGGCTTGCTCCCAGCTTCCTGCAGAGGAGCGCTGCGCTCCCCAGGCGCTCGAGTGACAAAGTGAGATGTGCGAGAGCCTGGCCCAGGCCTGTTCCCCTGGCTGTCATGGGCAGTCGGGTGACACAGGCGCTCAGCCTTGGGACGCTCGGGTCTCACGGACGCAGCGGATCTGCACCCCGAGGTTTCAAAGCAGCTGGGCCACTGCTCTGATGGGGTGCGGAGGGTGCGGGGAGAGAGCACTGGGGGAGCACGTGGGCGCGGCCGGTTGTGCTCCTGGTCCCCCTGGGGACGAGCCTGGGGCCGCATGCTGGGCACCGGCCCTTGCCTGCCTCTGCCTGGGATGTGGTGGAGGCCGGGACTTGCTGCGAAGCCCTGTGGGGACGCCTCTGTGACGCCGAGGAGGGCTGGGCGCAGATCTGTGCGGCCCAGCACGGGTGAGTGGGGAGCTTCTGTGTGTGACAGGAGAGGCACAGCCGCCTTTCTTCTCACTGAGTGTAAGGAGTCTCAGTAAACATAAACTGTGCGCTGCTGGAGCAGTCCACTTTCCAAAGGAATAGAGCGGCTGGGCGTGGTGCTGCATGCCTGTAACTCCAGCACTCAGGAGGCTGAGGCAGGAGGATCGCTGAGTTCAAAACCAGCCTGGACTATATAGGGAAACCCTGTGTCAAAAACTCCCCCCAAAACAAACAGAAAACCCCCAAGTAGTAGACCGATTCCATCTTGACCTATATTTCAAAGACGCAGCTGGGAGGTGCAGGGACAGTGCCGTGGGCACGTCTGGGCTCAGCCTCTCCACCCCAGGAGCGGGGAGAGAAGCCAGGGCTTTGGGCAGCGCCAGGGCTGGTGGCCCAGGGCCCTGTGCTGCTGCTCTGCCCCCTGCTCAGCGCGCTGTCCGGGGCTGGAAAGGCGCTGCAGAGGCGCCGAGTGCGGGCAGCATCAGGTCCTCCCTGTGTCCTACGAAGTGTGCTCAAGGCTTGGGCGCGATACGCTCCATGTGACCCGTGGAGGACTCCAGGAGGAGGTCCCTGCGAACCTGAGAAGCAGCAGCTTTTCTCTTTGAAAGAGGGGGGAAGAATGACTGATTTAAACAAATAGGTGTAAAATATGTCTAAAGTTTCTTCATTTTTTTCCCCATTTAAATTGTATTTTTTTAGGACGTGGTGAGCCTATAAATAGTTAAAAGAAAAAACCCTCATCATTATTCTTTGTCTGGTTTGTTTTGTTTTTTTGAGACAGGGTCTCACTATGTAGTTCAGGCTGATCTTGAATTCACTATGTAGCCTAGGCTGGCCCAGAGCTCTAGGCAGTCCTCCTGCTTCTGCCTCCTGCATCCTGGGATTACAGGCGTGCACCACCGTACCTGGCTAGCTGTATTCAAATAACCTATAAGCCAAATTTCACCAGAGAACCTAGAAAACGTTGGAACTGGTGATCACAGAGATGAAACAGGTCAGGAGGAGCATCGTGTACGTCTCACCCACCTCCTGGTGTGCTGGTTCAGTAGCATAAAGGATGATCATGTTGCTGTGTGGCCTAACCTCTTCATTTTTAAAAATTGTACTCTTGGGAACAAGGCACCAACTCTAACATTGGGAGCTTTATTAGCCGTGGACTCAAAAAATGCCTTGAAGTTCAGGATCTGGTAAATCTTTAGTATTATGGGTCTGCTATTTTAATGATGTGTTATTTTATGAAGTTTCTAAAGTGATGCATGGTTTCCACACACATTGCTCTCATTGCTTTATGTAGGTTACTATAAATTCTAACAACATTGCTTGTTTTGCTTTTTTCTTCTTATTCTGTACTTATTATATAATACTAAAAGTTACGCACATGGTTAAAAAATAATGTTTCCATTCTGGGTGGCCTTTGCCTGTGGCTTGTTAAATCAGATATTTGAAGGGGCTGGGGATTTAGCTCAGCAGCACAGCGCCTGCCTGGCAAGCGCAAGGTCGAGTTTGATTCCCGGTACCGGGAAAAAAAAAGGAAAAACCAAAAACCAGATTTTGAATGTATGGCCTTGCTTTTTTATTAACATTGAAGGAATTTAACACGAATGTCCCATACATTTCTGAAATGGCTGTGGTGGCCTACAGCAGTGTGCAGATACAAAACGAAAGGAGCAAAATAAGGTCTTGGTCAGGAAAGTTTTCTCGTACAGAAACTTGTAGAGTTACTCCTTTAGGTTCTACAGTGGTTTCCCAGTGGGTTGCAGAGTTAGCTGCGAGGCGGGGCCTGGTCTTTGTGGAGGGAGATGTTTACTGTTCCCGCTGCCTCCGGCCCTTGGAGCACGCTCAGGCGCGCTCTGGGGAGCGCTGTCCAGGACGTGCTTCCGCACAGCTCTCTGGGGAGAGGGCCTTCCGGACGTTCTCATGACATTTCTGGAGCCTTCGGCCAGGAGTGGTATTTGATCTGCTCCAGACCCTTGCTGAGCGCATCCTGTTAGCACCTCTCCTTTTCAGCGATCTTTCAGATTTTCAGTTCTTCCAGCAGTCTGGTTATTTCTAACGGTTTCTCCCTCCAGCCTGGTTGTGCAGAGACGTGAGATAACTCTGACTCTTGGCACAGTGCCTTCCGGCGGTCAGTGTCAGCTCCATCAGCACCGGAGTGTGCAGTGTGCAGCCGGCTGGCCACATGCACTGCTCACATCATCGCAGCAGCTGGTGGAGCTGGTGGCTCCGTGGCGCGTTCCCCGTGCTCTTCCTCCTGGAAGCTCCAGATAGGGCCTCACGGTCCCCAGGCCATTGCTAACCAACCTAGCGGGGCGTAACTTAAGGGGCCCCTTTTTACCCCCATAGCATTTTCATGTGAAGTAAAATTTCCAATTCGTGATGTGCGACTAAGTGATTTTTACTCTTTTATTCTGAACTGCTTCTGCGTGGGCTGTGTCTGTGCTGAGAGAATTCTGAGCAGACTGCCTCACTGTTTGGAGCTGACTCACTGCACATCCTTTTTGAAAAGCCTGAATTTGGATTTCACCCCCAGGCCCTCATCCTGGGGTTCTCCTAACGGGTTCTTCTGGCCTCCCAAGATGTTGTGTTTGTCTGGTGCCCTGTGCAGAGACCTCCCGGGTCATACGCTGGCCGCGGCGCTCACAGCACAGCGGGGCCATGCACCCTGCGCTGCATTGGTGGCCGGGCCTTCCTGCGGCTTGCTGGCACAGAGGGAAGTGACACTGGCTGCTGCTGCGGTGTGGTGGCCGTGGGAGGGGCTCTGAGTTAGGGTCCACGTCTCATTTGCTCTTGGAAAGGCTGACATGGCTGTGCATACTAACGCGGGGGCTTCATCGGTGTCTGCTTTGCTCTCCAGGTGACCTCTATGGAGCCATAGGCTCTCCAGTGAGGCTGACGCGCACCGTGGTGGTGGGGAAGCAGAAGGACTTGGTCCAGCGCATTCTCTATGTCCTGACCTACTTCCTCCGTTGCTCTGAGCTACAAGAGAACCAGCTGACGTGGAACGGGAAGCACAGTGAAGGGGACCAGGTTATCAACGGCAGCAAGATCGTTACAGCCTTGGAGAAGGGCGAGGTGGAGGAGTCTGAGTACGTGGTGGTTACGGTGAGAAACGAGCCTGCTCTTGTGCCCCCTGTCCTGCCGCCCGTGATGGCAGAGAGAAGAGGTCCCGGTCCCCCAGGGTCAGCAGGGGCCCCAGATGGCACTGACACAAGAGACCTGGGCCCCAGGCCTGCCAGAGAAGGGGGCAGGACGCCGCAGCAGAGTGCCGGGGCTTGCAGCGTGGGGTTCCTGCGGCCAGCACTGGACAGCGCCTGGACCGCGCACGGGGCACTTTGTGGGGGCGGAGACAGCGAGGAAGCAGCACCTCCAGCTGGCACCTTGGGACCTCCCTGCCATCAGGCTCTGGGGGCAAGAAGGAAAATTGACCCCCGGACTGTGCAGGAGATGCAGGAGGAGACGCCTAAGAAACTGCTGGAGCGGTCCGCAGCCTGGCCGTGCCCAGACAGGCGTTCCCGGGAGGAGCCTCCTGCGGGAAGAGTCACCTTCCAGATCGGGAGCTCTGTCTCTCCGGAGTCTGACTGGGAAAGCCGCACCAGAAGCGTGGAGGAGAGGCTGAAGGGCTGCGCACAGCACTCAGGGGTGGCTGGCGCCTTGCAGGCCCGGGACCGGCGGGCCTTGGGGTGCTTCCCCAGAGCTGCCCTTCAGGAGGGTGCTGGCCGTACTGGGGAGAGACACTCTGGCGAGGAGGAAGGCGAGTCCAGCAGGGGCTTTGCTGAGGACACGGGTGCTGGGCGGCCCGGCCAGCCCGCCAGCCCGCGGGCACCTCCCAGCCTTGCCGTGGGAGCGGGAGAGCGAACGCGGGGGCAGACGAGGGCTCTGCACCTGCACGACGCGGGAGGACCTGCGCTGGCGCCTGCTGTGGGCAGGTGTGTTCTGCAGGACCCGGGCCTCCTGGCAGCTGCTCATGTCCCCCATGGGGATGCTGACGGGAAGGCCGGCTTCAGGGTTGAAGGCGACCTTCCCAGAAATGAGAGCTCTGACAGCGCTCTTGGAGACAGTGACGACGAAGCATGTGCTTCAGCCGCACGGGATCCGGGTCACAGTGGTGACAAGATGGAGGCCTCCTCGGAAGTGGAGCTACCTCTGCCCAGGTAACGCTGGCCGGCCGGCTGGGAGGTCCGGCTGGCGGTGGCCGTGTTAGCTACGGACTGCTTTGGTGTGTTCCTTCCTTCAGCACTGAAGTGTCCCCGCGTCAGGGCACATGGCCCGGCCTGCCCTCTGTCCAGGGAGGCTCACGGTGCAGCAAGGCTGGGCTCCCTGGGACACGGGCGTCTCTGTGGCTGCCCATGTTGTGGGCAGCTGAGGGCTGGGGTGGGGGCGGTGGGAGGGCCGGGGCGCTGAGCTTCTGTAGTCGCTGGAAGCTAGATGCCACGGCGGAGGCCTGGCTGCAGCTTCCAAGGCGGAGAGTGAGGCCGGCTCGCTGTGGCCACGCCGCACCTCTTCCTGCCCCCGCATCAGCGGACAGCGCCCTGTGTCGGTGGGGAGCAGGAAGGAGAGAGCTCTGCTCTTCCCGGGCGAGGGGCCCTTGCGGGTGCCCCTCCTACAGCCAGGCCCTCGGCAGGAGCCCCCCGAGTCTTCTCGTTCTTCACCCCTTGACGGAGTGTCTGCTGGGTGTCCAGGACGAGGTGCAAGAAGGAGCTAGCCAGCCATGGAGACGGGTGTGCCCCTAGATTTTAAGAACTCGCTTGGGCCGGGGACATAGCTCAGCAGTGCACTGCCTGCCTGGCAAGTGCAAGGTCCTGAGTTCGATTCCCAGTACCAAAAAAAAGAACTCGCTTTTCTTTCCCAGCCTCCTCCTCTTCCCAGCAGACCTCCCTGGAGGGTTGGTGACCTGCACCCCTGAGCCCACCTTACTCTCTGCGTCATCAGGATGTGTGTGCCATTTGCAGGGCTGTTGGGAAGGTTCTTTAAGGGTACACTTCAGTGGGCCGGGTGCTATTTCAGGTCGCAGAACATCAGCAACCCAAGCGTCGGGAGCTTCGGCCGCTCCCTCCTGGCAGGGTACTGCCCTGCGTACGTGCCCGACCTGGTGCTTCATGGGACCAGCAGCGACGAGAAGCTGAGGCAGAACCTGCTGGCAGATCTGGTCCACACGGTGCATGTGAGTGGCCAGCGGAGGGTTCGGACTGACGGGCATCCAGGGAAGGGATTGCTCTGGAGAGAGGGGGGGTGCCCGGGGCCAGCTGCAGGCACAGCTGGGTGCGGGGTGTGAGCGAAGGGGCTGAGTGCAGTGTGGGGGGCCCTGCCTCTCTCCTGCCCTCAAGCCCGGCAGAAGCCAGAGGCGAGGTCACACGATGCAGACTGTGTCCTGCTGTGGCCCTGTGGCCGGAGAGTGCAGCCTCACGGGGCTCGGAGCAGGTGAGGAGGGCAGCGCAGCCCGGGGTGCGGGGGCCGGCACACAGGCGTCCGGGAGCGCTGGCAGGTGTCGCCCGGGCTTGATTTATTCGGCCCTTACAGCTTCCTGGAAGTAGTTCCTGTGGATGGGCTTGTCACTGAGCCCACTGGGGGGCTGTGGGGACGAGCGAGTCTCGCTGGAAAGCCCTTGCGGCTTCCGCACGGCAGGAGCTGAGCAGCGAAGGGGACTGTGTGCTGGGCCTGTTTCCGCTGAGCTGCTCCAGGGCAGACATGCAAAGGTAGGTGTCCTCCATCAGAAGCGCACTGTGTCTTTGCAGAAGGGGGAGTCCTCGTCGAGGTAGGAAGATTGGAATTTGGCCTCCCTGCTCACCAGTGGGATTTTTGGCAAGGTGAAACAGAGGGCATTGAATTTTTTTTGCCCTTGAGCATGTCCTCTGTGCAGACTAAACACATCAGACGCAGGCCGAGCAGACTGATGTTTGTGTGACGTGGAAAGCAGATGTCCTCAGGTCCCTGCCCCGCGGGGAGGTAGAGAGAGGAGGCCGATGGTTTGCAGCTGGGGCTGCGGCCAGGCCAGGCCTGCGTAGCAGATGACCCAGATGCTCCTGGCCCCGCTGTGCGGTCGGCTGCTCTGGCTGAAGCAGTGCAGTGGCTTCTGTCTTCCTGAGTAGCAGCACGACTTGCTTTTACTGGCCAGCACTCTCCGGCTCCCGGTGGAGGAACACGGCCTCCTGCCTGAGGCATCCTCACTGCTGTGCAGTGCCAGGCAGCTCTGCGCTTGTTCAGTAGTCACTGTGATGTTAGGTGGGGAATCTCAAGGCCCCTTCCCCTCCCCTCCTCTCCTCCTCTCCCCTCCCCTCCTCCACCCCCCGCCCCTCCTCTCCTCCTCTCCCCTCCCCTTTTCCTCTGTCGTCGTCTTTTTTTTTTGGTCTGAGACAGATTTCACTTTGCAGTTCAGGCTGGCCTTGAACTCACTGTGTAACCCAGGCTGGCCTCAAACTTCCAGTGATCCCGGGTGCTGGGATTATAGGGGTGCACCACCACACCCAGCTCATCGCCTTTCCTTTCGGCACCTTATGTCTGCAGCACGGGAAACCTGTGTGTGTTTTCCTCCTGCGCCGTCAGGGTTCCCCACTGGGCCTCTCTTCCGCACGGCCTCTCTACTGCTCCTGATCGAGGCGCCAGGAGACTGCGCGGGCTGTGCTTGGGCACGCGGAGCCCTTCTGCTGGGGGTTGCCCAGCAGCCCTGCACCCACTGGCTAACCATGAAGGAGCTGTAATCTGGGGCTGATAGCCCTCCTTGAGACCATCCGGAAAACATTCTCACGTTTTCTGTGGGCTGGCAAGTCGCAGTATCTCAATGTTAGATTTTCACTGTGACCATCTGGCTCTTTAATTCTTAGATTTGAAAAAGCAAAGCCATGTTGACGGTATCATTCCTCTTAAAGCTTTTCCATATTTCATTTTCCCCCCTTTTTTGGAAGAGCTTTCTCACTGTAGTAGTTCCCATTTCTTTAAACTATTCAGTCACCCTGAGAAATTGAAAGTTATTAAGCATAATAACCTACGTTGTGTCAAACTGTGATACATCGAAAGTGCAGCCATGCCTGGGTGTTAATAGGAAATTGTGAAGGGTTTGTAAAAATATCTTCAGAAGTTCAGCACATTCAGAAGATACCTAGTTAGCATTGGAGGGTTTCTCATTTCACTTGACGTGTTCATTACTGTCTCAGTGACTTTTGCTTTTGAATAGTGTTCCATGTAGACTGCCTCGCAGACTGGCACTCGGGTCTGGAGCAGGTTTTTTTTTTTTTTTTTTTAAAGGTAAAGCTTTCTTTTTAACTCCCAGTTACAAATATTTGTTGAAAATAAATTAGTTCTTTAAAAAAAGTCTATTGAATTTACTGCTCCGTAAAGCATGGTGATTATTTAAATTTTTGAGACTCCTGCCAGAGAAGGAAGCAAAGACCCGAGAACAAGCACACGGCCGGAGTCAGAACTGCAGAGAGTAGCTTGTGGAGAAAGGGATGGGGTGAGTCCCGTCACGTGATCATTCCTTGCCTTCAGAGCCCGTCCTTTGGACATAAATCATTCTCAGTGTTCGTGCCAGACCTCCTCAGCTTTGGTATTCGTCATTCCTTCAGAGGGTTTTTAGTGACTGTTCCAAAGCACCTGAGTGGAGCTGTCGATCTGTTTTGTGACTTGGATTCTAAACTGTTTACACGGTGCGCACATCAGAGCCGGAGGGATGGGTTTGGAGTTTCTTCTCTGAGCTGAGGAGTCATTTCTGGAGCTTCTGCTGAGACTTTCTCTTTGTAACTTTCTTATCCAAGTCTCCTATGAAGGATACATCAACTTCGTATCATTTGTTTCGGCTTTTTACATGTAAAGATTCAGTTCTTTAAATATTTGAACACATGTTCTCATTTAGGCCGTGCACTGCCTCTTTTCTGTTACTTGGACTCTTCCCCTGCTCCCTAACATGTAGGCTGTGCAGCTGCCTTAAATTAATCTAACCGATATTGTTCCGTGTTTTTCCTGCCACACCTAAACATCCGTTCCCTTCCCCACCCCTCTGACCGTGTGGGGAGGTGGGAGGGCGAGGGGTGAGGTGGCACTCACAGCCTCACTGCCGGTGGCGCCTGCCTGGGACCCTGCTGGCCTCCGTCTCCAGAGTGCTCTGCTCGTGGTGGTCACTGACCTCTGCGCAGAGCAGGGCCGTGGGGCCACAACACTGAGACAGGGCTGGGCTGGTGGTCGGGGCCCAGTCCCGTTGTTAGCTGATGGTCGGGGCCCAGTCCCATTAGCTGATGGTCGGGGCCCAGTCCTGTTAGCTGATGGTCGGGGCCCAGTCCCGTTGTTAGCTGGTGGTCGGGGCCCAGTCCCGTTAGCTGGTGGTCGGGTCCCAGTCCTGTTATGGCCACTTGGTCACTGATAATCTTGAATAAATTGACTGACATCTCTGAGCCTCAAACATTGTCTTAGCACTTCCTCTGCTTTTACTGAGACAAAATACCCAACATCCAAAGTTACAGGAGGAAAGGTATGTTTAGCTCAGTTTATAGAGATGTCAGTTCTGGATCCAAGGCAGGGTGGCGTGGCAGAGGGGCATCTCAGAGACACAGTTCAGGTGGCAGGAGACAGTAGAAGCAGTGAGCAGTGGGGAGACAAGACTCTTTCAGGCACTTACGTTGTATGCAGGCTACCTGCCCTAGGGCAGGTGTATCATGCACACCCTTAGTCCCAGCCAGGACTGTGCCAGACCAACCAGTGGACTGATTTACTAATCACACCCTCTGAATCCCAGTACCACACACCGTAGATCTAGCCGCCTCTGAAAAAGTTCTGTGACCTCATGAGGCTTTGGGGGGACATCTAGACACAAACCTCACAAAGATGTTTAGAGGAATGGGTGTAATACAGTCCACTGGTTAAGAGCTGACTTCTAAAGATCTGAGGTGTAGTTCACCCCACCTGGCTTTAAGGATTTCTGAAGATCTGAAGTGTAGTTCACCCCACCTCACCTGGGGGTGAGTTCTTTAACTTACTACTCTGTAAAATGAACAGTGCTGGTGTTACAGGTTTGCAGATTCTGTGAGATAATCCACATTAAATGTTTAGCAAGCACCTGGCACATCACTAAGTGCCCAATAAATGTGAGCTGTTACTGTATGTGAAAACGCTTTGTAAATGATAAGGCAGTATAACGTTCTTAACACAGAAAGCAAAATGCCCATTATTTTAGTAAGAGGGAAGTTGCCATCAGAGTGTAGAGAGTTACAACACATGTATTTAACGCAGCCCTGACTGCTGGCTGGTGTGTCAGGCCCAGGAAGCCCTGCAGAAGATGCCCAGATAGAACTGGACTTGAACGCGCTCGCTCAGGGCCGAAGCATCCGGTGGGGAGGAGCAGCCTAGACTCCATTGTACAGGGCTGTCAGGGCCAGAATTAGCACCACACTTAGCATTTTCCTGTTTTTAAATTATGTTTCAGGGCTTCAAATGTTTTACAGAATGGTCTATAAAATGAAGTAACAGTTGGATACAGCAGCCTCTTCCATTTAATTTTAAGAGAACAACAGATTGACTCCAGAAATATCATGCAGGAATCAGTAGCAAGATAAGGAGCTTTGCTAAAAGCCTGGCTGAGATGTGTGCTCATGAATACCTAATTAATCCATTCAGGGTAATCAACCAGTAAGACTACAAAAGAACATCTAGTCCTATCAAAGGGTAGATCATTACTTAAGTAACACCGATAACACTGAGTGTCTTTCAGAATCCGCAGGTTGGGCAGTGAGGCCATGACAGTGTGGGACTGGGGGTGGGACAAGTCTGCAGGTTGTCTGCAGTGCGGACCCGCCTGGGCTCCTGATGCCTGGGGCCAGGGGCTCTTTCTTGGCTGTGGCGCTGGTGCAGCCCTGGCTTGGGTAGAGATCTGCTTGTGGAAGTTTCTGGAAGTACATGATCTGACCTGCAGCTGGGTTTGGATGACCAGTTTTTTTAAGTGAGTAGAACTGAAATCATTGCAGCTAACCAGCATAATTGTTTAGTGGGAACTTTATGTTGTGTATGTGTATGCAGTATTCACACATATATACGCCATAAGTCAGATGTCCCTTCTTCCCCCCATGGCTGCAAATACTTTGAAGCAGGAAGTGGAGACTTACTTCGTTTCTATCCCCAGTACCTCTCTAGAAAGTGCTGGTCAGTGTCAGCTGACGGCCCCCTACTGGGTATAGGGTG